ATGCTTTATACCAATACAGCAGGTCTAGGGAGAGGCTAGAGAACAGCCATTTATAGAGCATCTGCTTCATGCCAGTTGTCAGCAGCAACAAGACACTTGCATCCACCACCTCCTCCTCTAATCCCTGCAGCAGCCCGAAGGATTAGCATAATCCTTCCTTCAGCAGATTAGAAAGCTTTGGTGGACAGTTTGTAGGGGAGGGTGCCAAGGAAGACATCTGGTTGCTCCTATGACAGAGCCCAGCCTCTGCCCACCAGACTGTCCTGCCTCCTCTTTCCCAGGGGTGTTAACTACCTGTGGCTCTCTCCTACCATCCTCAGCTCCAGGTCTGGATGCCCCTGTGGCTTCCACTGTCTTTGCTGCAGTAAGCCTTGGCCTAGTGGGAGACCAGGAAAGTAAGAGATTTCCTTGCTGCTCACTGACCAAGTATTCCTTGTCTGTCATCCTCTCAGGAGACCTTATAGCTCAAAGGTTACAAACCTGGGCCCCAGAGTCCCATTGCCTGTGTCCAGATGCTGCTACTGTGGTTAATCAGCTGTGCAACATTGAGCACGTTAATAAACCTCTCTGATCTTCATTTTCCCATGAGAAACATGGAGCTATTATAGCTGCCTCCTTTCAGAGTGAGGGGAGTGTGAACTTAGGACAAGGTCATGAACAGGACGTGTACATGGACAGTGCTCACAAGGTGGTCATTACTAGGTGGAGTCCTCAAATCTCCACTGAAATAATAAGAGAGGCCCAGATCTTGGAAGTCCATTAATGATCTTGGAAGGCCTTGAACATGCTCATGTCTCTTAAACAACAGAGGAGGAAATCAAGTTGAGACTGGATAGTACTCAACATCACACAGGTATTAAATGAAAGAATCAGGAGCCAGATATCGCCCAGATCTTGGAAGTCCATTAATGATCTTGGAAGGCCTTGAACATGCTCATATCTCTTAAACAACAGAGGAGGAAATCAAGGCCCAGTTGAGACTGGATAGTACTCAACATCACACAGGTACTAAATGAAAGAATCAGGAGCCAGATATCAAACCCAGACATCCACAGGTGTCACCATAAGTTTTGCATCTGGGGATTCAACCGACCACGGGTCAGAGGTTCTTGGGGGAGGGAATCATAGCTGTGCTAAGTGTGTCATTATCCCCTATACAACATCGTATACCAGGCATTTACATGTAGCTTGCATTGTATTGAGTGTTCCAATTCATCTAGATATGAGTTACAGTATATGTGACAGGGGATGGAGAGATGGTTCTGTGGTTAAAAGCATTTACTGCTCTTCCAGAGGACCAAAGTTTGTACCCAGCACCCACATGGTGGCTAACACCCAGTTCCAGAGTATTCAACGCCCTCTCCTGCCTCTGTGGACACCAGGCACTCACATGGTGCACTTACATACATGCAGGCAAAACATTCATATACATACAATTAAAATAAAGTGTATGTGAGGATACGTGTAGGTTCTGTGCAAAGACTATGCCATTTTATATATAGGACTTGAGCATCCAGTGATTTTAGTACCTGCAGGGGGCCCTGAAACCCATCACCCATGGATACTGAGGACAGCCATGTAATTTTTCTGGGCCCCCACCCTAGATCTAGACAAGCCTGTCAAAGGATGCTGTAGCCCTCTCCTGGGGGTTTTGTTACTTTTCACAATTTCAAAGTTTGAATGTGAATCCCAAGGGAGGTCTCCTTCTCTGTGCTCCTCCCCCAGCACAAAGCAAGGTCTAGTAACTAAGTGTGTATTGTTTTGACAGTTGCATTAAGAATCCATCTCAGCATCTCTTTGGTTTAAGGTCATGGTCCCTATAAATGTGATGTGCACACAGGCCAGAGGGTACAGGGGAGAAAGAAAAGTGAGGTCCGTGTCGTTCCTGGGCTCCTCTTAGTCATTGATCTCCATCCTTAACCTGTGAGTCTGTCAAATGACAAGTTGAACATAGAAAATACTGATTGTTCCAGATACATTTTCATCAAAGTTGGAAATCATTTTCAAAGAAACTAAAGGACAGCCCTTTCTAACCATGGGTTTTACATCCTC